CTTCGGCATGCCTGGCTGAAGAGGAATGGCGCTGTGTTGTCAGGCTCAGAACCGCAACTCCAGCAGTGAGATTTCAGGCCAGAGTTCGATTGTGAGCAGAAAAAGCTCTCAATTTTCAGAAATGAATTTGCATAATCTCTCATAAGTGTTCTACTCGAAGCTGGGAAAGTCAAATTTCTCCCTGAATAAAATGTTCTTCCTTTGGGCCTGCCAATTAAACAAGAAGAAGAGGAAAAATTGAATTACAACAGCGGGAAATAAAATTTGATGGACTGAAATCCGCTGAAGTTATCGTGCGAGTAAGGATTGTTGAGATTTGTGTAGAATGATAGAGCTTTTTCTTCCACATTTTGAGCAGAGAGAGAGAGAGAGTAGCAGCTGGATTTATACACTTGGTCTCTGCTGCATCAGGATTTTCAAATTTGAACTAGAAAAAAAGCATAACTCACATGTATCATGCTATTTTTGCCATTACAATGAGTAAACTATCAGCAAACCAGACATTTAGAACTAATACGCTCAACAAACATCAGCAGATTGTTTGGGAAAAAAAAAAAGGAATAATTCCCCATTTTAACATGAAACAAATTCAACAGTTTGGCATGTAACCTGAGATTATCAATTAAATCAAACCCATGAAAAGATACTCTCAAAGACTGCATCTTTACACTTCCGTAACCAGATACATTAGAGAAAATTATAAGAAATGCAATTGCTTATGATTCTAAACTAAATCAAAACTGCAGATCCGTGGAATCTCAAGAAAAGGGGGGAAAGAATAAAATGAAGAAGATAGCAGAAAATTACCTGGCACCGTACATCTCGTGTGGGTGACCTACGTGACAGGTAGATCTGAGCTTCGAAGATAAAGATCTAACCGCCTTGGACAAGATGGCCATATCTGAAAAAATATCACCGTGAAAGCTCGACCGGTCACAGGTCGTGCCATGGATCTGAACAGATAGGGTCTCGATTGGGCTAGCACACGCGTGAAGGGCGTACGGATGGTTGTGGGCTGTGGTTTGTCGACAGCAGAGAGCTGCGACGCGAGCTCGACGGGAAGCTCGGTTGCTGGTGGTGAGCTCCCCGTGCGTGGGTCGCCGGCGATTAGGTGGTACGCCGGGGAGGGCTCAACTCGCGACTGAAGGGGCGGCCGACATGAGGACATGGAAGAGGGAGCTGTGAGCTGAGGTCGACGGCGGCTGGCAGCTGCGACGTCGCCGGAGATGAGAACGGAGAGGGAATGCGCGAGCAGGGGTCGCCGGAAAATGAACGAGATAGAGAGGCTGGTCGTCGCGAGCTTGCTGGACTACGGACACGGCGAGGGCGGCCTGAGTTCGTGAGGACGACGCCTCGTCGTGGGTTCGAGCTGCAGACTACGTGTTTGTGCTCGCCGGCGGGAGGCTGGGCTGCGACGGCGTGAGGCTGGTTTGGATGCGGCGGCGTGAAGGCGGACTCGTGCTGTGGTATGGCTGCACGAGCTCTTGCCGGCGGGAACGAGTGAGCCTTGAGTTTCGCCGGAAAGGAGGTGGTTCGTGGTCGCCGGAGATGGCGACGGCGGCGGCTTGCCGAAGCTCGGAGGTGGTGGCCGATTTTTGTGTGGTGGTTGGGAGAGAGGTGAGCTTTTGGGCTGGTCTTGAATGGTAGACTAGAGGATGATGGAGATTTACTCACGAGGGAGGTAGGGTTTTTGTTGTTTGGGCTCAACTTTGGGCTACAATTAAAATTGCTATTTGGGCTTTGACCAAATACTTAGGTTAAGTATGAAATGTTTGGATACTTCAATTATTAATCGAGACTTAGATTAAGTTAATTAGTTGATCGAACAAAATAATATATGGCCGGGATTTTAAAAATCGACATAGGTTCGATTTTGTAAAATAGACTAAATTAAAATCAAACATAGGCTCGATTTACTAAAATGGAATGGGTTAAAATAAAATCGAGCATAAGCTCGATTAACTTAAATGGGTCGGCTAAAATAATTGAACTCGCTCGAAAATGATTAGGATCGAATAAATTAATTATTCAAGCTTTGTCCGCTAATAAAATTTTCAATCATTCCAAGGCTCGGTTTTAAAAATATAACCGATACTTGAGCTAAATAAATCCAACTCTAATAATTAAAATCGAATAAATTCTCCATGACTTAGACTTTAATACTAATTACTCAATTTAATACAAATAATGCTAACAAATGCATCAAATTAGGAAACTGACTATTTATTAAAATAAAGTCGAGCTACATAAATAGTAATTAATATACTAGCCTAATTATAAAATTTTGTGTGTTGGAAACTATAGCAAAATTTGTCTTGCTTGTTAAGTAGGCTCTTTCTTATCTAGTCAAAGTTGTGCAAAACTTGTCATTTTCTTCCCACACTCACCACACATGATATCTAATGGGGCAATATCGGTTATTTAATTTTGGCTTTCTGTTGGATGATATTTCTATTATTTAAAGGAACGTGAGAACAAAGAACTTCATTTTTCTCATTTGCGGACTGCAAGAAAATAACAATATGTTCTTTCATATTTTTCCTGACATTCTTCAAACTCATATTTGGGCAATACAATTCGTTTGGTCTCCATATTTGTCTAATGAGAGTGCACACATTAGACAAATTGTTGTGTTAATCTTGTAGAACGAACGGCTCGTTTGGCTTAGCTAAGGCATCGGTCAGCGAAGTACGGGCGTGTCAGGTGCCCACTCCTCATTGCACAAAAATCTGTCTAACTTTTTTGACAAGCATCCGCAAAACCAAGTAAAAAACGTCCCGTCGGTTTTCACTTCATGGAATATCAAATCTTCTCTGGCATAATGGGCCAGTACTCTGTAGATATAGATATAGTCGATTATTTCCCTCGGAGACGGAGCCATTATTCTATATGTACCATGACTTGGTTCCTCATCTCCGAGCGGCATTGCACACTCGCCGACACACAAGGAAATGTTTCAAATGTTCCTAAAAATTCTTGCTCCCATTGGACCATTTGTATCTATATGTATCAAGATCCCGATTCATGGATCTCTCGGTTCGAGAAATCAAGATAAGAGGTCTTTTCACAACATTGTCTACTTAATTGTTAGAGGCTTGATGTGATGAATGGGGTGAACAAATTGAACTGTTAATGGTGTTTTCTTACATTATCGTACAAGATTTATTCCACCAAATTTAGAGTTGAACAAGTTTCACAATCTTACATACCCAAACAATAAAATAGCCTTCACTATTTGAATCAGTGGCTAGGGCCTGCCAATGACGGACCTACATGAGGTCCAGGGGGCCTGTGGGCCCCATCAATTTTTTAAAAAATCATTATATATATACAAATAAAAAAATATTTTAAAAAATTAATAAAAATGTAAAAAATATGTAGAATATATAAATAATTAAACTTATTCTCAATGCTATTTTAATTTAAAGTAATAATATTTTTACTTATTCTAACAATCATTATATTTTACATTTTTGGATAAATTTTTGAAAATATTTATAATAATTCTCTTTCAAACTTTTAATTGTAAATCCCTTTAATAATTTATAAAACCTAGTTAGTTGGATTGTTAGATTTTCTAATGTTGATGGTTGTATATTTGAATATTAATTTTTTACTTTATTTTCTTATGTAATTATATATTTTCAACTTTATTTATTTTTATTAAAAAAAGGGTCATTTGATAAGCTCTAATCAACAAAAATTATATGCAATGTGTTCAATTTGAATCAAAGTTTGAACAAAAAAACTTATTTTTCATAAATTATTGATCTTAAATATAAATTATAAATACACGAAATCTCATTTTTTTCTTAAAGAAAATTTAGGTTGACGCGGATTCTAATTCTTAAAAACTTGAAAATACATATACTAATATTTATATTTATAAGTAAACACAACTTTATATGAAATGATCATTTGTACGTATATTACAAAATTGTTATTTCACATTAAAAATTGGGCCCCCCTGAGTTAAAATCCTAGCTCCGTCACTGACCTGCACTATCTTCTACCCAATGTGGAGAAAGATTACTAGCCATTTGAAAAGCTTCGATGGAAATCACAATCAAACTACTACAATGAAGTTAAACAAATTAAAAGCCCTTCCTAGGCAAGGGTTTCTCAATGCAATTTGGAGTTAAGTCAATACTCCACACAACACAGCACAAGCAGGGAAAAAAAATAGATAATGGAATGTCACAGGCACGCAGGCAGGCCCCTTCTAGTCCAAAACCAGCCAAAAACTACAAATCTCAACACATAAAGACATAACAAAAAAAAAGCAACACTTAAACGAGCCCAACTCAAACGAGAAGAGCCATAAACGAACCAAACCCACCACCGACCCCACCTAAGCGGCATCCACATCGGGAGTCTCGAGAACTGCCTGCTCAGCCTCCTGCACCTCCTTCTCGGTTTTCCTTCCTTTCTTCGACTTGTAATACACGCTCATGAAGGTCCCCACGGCCCCATACTTGCGCCTGCAGTGCTCGTAAAGCCCGGCATCAAACATTCTCCAGAAATTCTTCTCTGTGAGCTCGGACACAGCGTATTGCGGCTGGAAGCCATGATTCTCGATCAGCCAACTCTCCATGCGGCGGACAGCTTCAGACCCATCAAACACCTCACCCCTCAAGACGGGCCCCGGGGCATAGTAAACGCCCACGTCAGTATACATCTGAGCATAGTTTGTGTCTCCTTGCCTACGCTCTTGCTCGAATCCTGGTTCTGGGTAAACCATGGTTTTCAGTGGGAGTTGATACAGCCTATGCGGGCAGAGCCAAAGTGGGTAGACCTGTTCGAGTACATTCAATGATTCAATTGTTAGTTTAAGCCACATTGAACTTTCAGAATCATTTACTGCATAATTTTATTATAAATTTATAGTAAAGCTAAAAATTCTGGTTAATCTTGTAATTTCCAAGCAGACATAGCGAAGAATTACCTCCATTTCTCGGTGGACCCATTCAAGAGCGTCCCCAACCTTATAAAGCGGGACGAGCATATCCTGAATGACATGCATCTCATGGTAATAGTTTCTGATGGCTTCCCCTTGAGTGGCCTTGAGAAGGGAGACCTTGGGAGGCATCATCCACCCTAACAGAAACCTGAACCAGAACTGATCGGCAAATGGAAGAATGAGCTTTCCCTCCCAATACAAGCACCTCGTGTGCCTGTGGTAATATTCTCTGGTCGGGATATACTCAACAAACTCCCCCTTCTTCAGTGCCGTTTGGGCATGCTGGTAGAACCATGGCTTGAACCACCACCCGACGCTATTGATTTTATTACCCTTCATCTTGGCTTCCTCTTTAGAAGCATACCGACCAGTCATGCAAACGGCTTCAGTAGGGGAGTAAATCATGGTCTCAACAAAATCCGGAACCTTATTGGGATTGTCTTGGTCTCCATCCCTTGGGGCAAAGGAGTCCATATATCCCTGTGCAAGCTCCTTCAGATTGCCCACAACCGGCTTATATGTCAGCCTCATGTATTCCTTCACAGGTATAAGCTTAATCTCAGCCGCCACAAGAAGTCCCAGAGTTCCTTGAGACCAGGGGATAGCGTAGAAAAGGTCAGAGTATTCATTGTCCTTCGTGGCCCTAACCAGACGGCCGTCCGCCAAAACTATCTCATAAGCCACAACAGTATCTGAGAAGAGGCCATAAATGTGAGAGCTTCCTTCAATTCCATAGCCATTGATCAAACCACCAACGGTCAAGTCGTCGAGCTCAGCAACAACTGCTAGGGCCAAATTCATGGGGACAGTAGCCCTGGTAATCTGGCCCATATTGACTAAAGGCTCCACCCGAGCAATCATTCTCTCCTTATCTATGTCCAGAATGTGTCTGAAGGCAGAAAGGTCAACCTCAAAATGCCGAGCACGCTTATAGTCCACATTACGCATACCAACAGCAATCCATGGCTTTCGGGCCGTGCAGACCAAGCCATCCTTCTTTGGGTTCCTCTCCTTGAGGCGCTTCACAACTTTCTTGACGTTCTCATCGTGTTCCTTCTGACGCTGCTTGAAAGATTTGCACTCGGACTTCACATCCCCAAGGTACGTGAGGAAGTACAGTGTGAAGGAAATGGGAAGGACAACAAAGATGACGATTATCCATCGGAACTGAACAAAGTAGTCCACCCACACCTTCTTTCTCTTGGGACGTAGTGGGGCTTCGAGATCCGACATTCTGGAAATGAGACCTAAAAAAAAATGGCAATATTTATTTAAGTCGGAACTTTCGCGTTCATAAAAACAAGGCGCAGATGAGTGCTGATAAATACACATGTAAAAACAGTCGCGCGTATAGGTAATCAAGCAATGTGACGGGCCATAAATGACTCTTAAGAAAACTAAGTCCATCTGAATCACTATCTCAAATCTACTAGTGAAAGATTTCGTGAAATATGACTTTATAAGTCACCATAAGTAATCCAAATATAAGTAAATGCTCATGAAATTTTATTAAGTTATGACCAGTCCATATAAAATTTCCCCTTAAACTTGGCAGGAAATACCCTAAGCAGAAAGCAACTCATTTTAAATGTTATGTTGAAAAGATGAAGAAACTGGTTGTCAAATATAGTAATGCAACCACCATTTCGGCATTGCCAGCCCTGTGATATACCTCCTCGTGGACATGCTTCATAATGGTTCAACAAAACTCCCAACTGTACCACTCAACTCATGGAGGACAATAATCTCCACATGCCAATAGTTAGATTTATATTTATTGTTGCTGTATGAAGATGATATTTCAAACAATACACACACACACACACACACTGAAGGCCACCAGATCATAAATCTGCACTTCAACTTGTTATTTCATATTTCAAATTGCCCATTAATGTTGGTCATTTCATATTTTCATATTTCAAAATCCCCCATCAATGTTGGTTGAACCATATAACACAACCAGAATCATCGAAAATACGAAATCACATGTCAGTCACCCAGAACAAAAGATGTAGTAAAAAATACTCAAAAAAAAATATGTAAAATGACAGCCATGGGAAAAGCAGGTACGGCACAGGACAAGCTGACTATATCCTACAGTTTGGCTACCCAAAATAAAAAGATGTAAACGATAGCCACGAGCAAAACATGCATGCCATAGCACAAGCCCCCAATTAACTAAACCAAGCCAATCTACACAATTTTGAGAAAAAA